TTTGACTCTCAAAGCCGTGATTCCCATTCACTTCCATTATAAGACTGACAGACTGCAATGGTTTGAGTTAAAAACCTTCGTTTGTGTTCTACTGAAGAAACAAAGTCACCTACATCTTGGATGCCCTGGGGGTAAGCAGATAAACATCACATTTTCATTTTTGGGTGAACTATCCCTTTCATTTTCAACATTGATTAAGGAGTTAATGAATTTATATTTGTTTCAGCTGGTGGAAAGGCCAGAGTTCGCTGATATGATCAGAGAGGATGCTGGGAATGTGGCCGCCAGGCAGGAAACTGATTCCATCCCTCTGGTAGACGAGATCCGTTTCCACATCGCCAGTAACGTTCAGACGTACAGCGCCATCGAGGAGGCCAACCAGAAACTCAGCGCCCTGGAGCTCCTGCTGGCCAGCATCGGGCTGGAGTGCTGAGAAACACAACTAACATGAGGTCTGGAGAGAGCACGGTGCTGGCGGATCAATCAAATGCTACCAAATGCTTTACATGCACAGATAATCCAAAGTAGCAAACTAGCACCACATTAGCAGTAACAAACTAATATGGTCGAATCTAACCAAAAACATGCATATATGGAGTCGGTGTGCGTCATCTTACAGTGGCCTGTTATGATGCAGAGAAGCTTCCTGTCTTCAGTTGTTTTTTTATGAACAAAAAGAGAGACGAAAGCTTGACATTTTGACATTTCACCGGTCGTGAGCTTTATATATCAGAACAAGTTCTTCGTGATATTTGGACATACGCTGTTCATTCTTCCACATGCGTCATGACAGATGTAGCAGAATATTTAGCAAGCTTTATAGGAAACTTTTAAGTTATGAGTCAAAACAATGCTGTTACATCACCGAATATGATTTGAGCCAATGATTAATCTAGGATGAGGCCATTCTTTAAGGAAAGAATGATTTATTGACATGCATTTGAGAAAAGGAGTGCACTGAAAAAGAATCTTTTTTGAGATTTTCACATTTTTGGTGTTCATGATAGGACTGACAATTCAAAACATCCTCCAAGAATGATTTCACTTGCGTTCTCTCTGGTGTTTGTGTGAGAGTTTGCCATTTGTTTAAGCAAGTAGATAATTATTTATGCCTCGAAATGTGTTCACTTACATCTTCCAGCACTGATAGAGAAGTTTTCCAGCTTTGCATCCACAGACTTCTGGTAATATGCATGCAATATTTGCATAGAATTACTCAATGAATGAATAAAGTACTTAATATTTCTCCACCTTAACATGTTTTCCTGCATTGGTTTGATTTTGTTTCCTAGCCTTTTACAGTGGGTACGGAAAGTATTCAGACCCCCTTAAATTTTTCACTCTTTGTTATATTGCAGCCATTTGCTAAAATCATTTGTTAATTTTTTATGCTGGTCTTAAAGTATATGCTGTGCTCGTGTGCTCAGCAGTACTTGGTGAGTTTGTGTGTGTTTGTTTCTGGAGAAAATCCCACATGCGTTGGCATCGCGGTTTCCTTTCATATGATTTATTGTGGGATGCTCTGAATGAATGGGATGTACATAAGTGAGCAAAAATAAATATTATTTAATGTACATATTACTTGTGGGTCTGTTTGATTTACCTTTGGAGAAGTCTGAGAAGAGAACTCTGGGGGGAAAAAAAGTCCATTCTGCATTTTTAAATGTAATACAAATGTCTGTTATAATTAGAATAGTCTGAGTATATTACTCAAGCCAAATTTGCTTATTACAAATTGTTTTGTCAATGAAAAGTAATTTTTATAAATAAATATTTTATTTAATACATATTTATTATTACAAATGTTATCAGTATATTTTGAGTAATATATAAATAGCACATTAGTATGTCTTTTCTTTTTACAAATGTATTACAAATTGTATTGTGAGCATATTTTAACAGAAAAGTTTAAAATATTTTGAGTTTAAAAATTACAATTCTGAATACATCAATGTTTTTTTACGTCAACACTCAAGCCAAATTGATTTACATTTTGACCTTAACATTTAATAGATATTTATTATTACAAATGTTATCGGTATATTCTGAGTGAAAAGTTACAAATATAGAGTTCAAAACTAAATATTTCATTGTATGTTAGTATTTTTTCTTGTGCTTTAATGACAGCAACACAAAAATTGGTTTACAAAATTGATCAAGAATTTCCCTTTAATACAAAATTATTATTACAAATGTTACTATCAGTATATTTTGAGAGAAAATTTGAAAACATAGCATAAAAAACATAATATTCAGATTGCACTAGTATTTTTTTTTAATTTTGCTTTAATGACATCAACACAACCAAATTTGTTTACATACATTTTTATTAATACAAATCTTATCAGTAAATTTTGAGTAAAGAGTTGGAAATATATTAAGTTAGAATTTTCCTTTAATTTAATACAAAATTATTATTACAAATGTTATTATCAGTATATTTTGAGAGAAAATTTGAAAATATAGCATTAAAAACATAATATTCAGAGTATATTAGTGTTTTTTTTTTTCATTTTGCTTTAATGACATCAACACAACCAAATTTGTTTACATACATTTTTATTAATACAAATCTTATTGTCAGTAAATTTTGAGTAAAGAGTAATATATTAAGTTAAAAAAGCATACATTTCACAGTATATTCGTTTTTTTTCTTCCTTTTATTCTTTAATGACAACAATTAAGCCCAATTTGTTTACATTTTGACCTAGAAGTAGTTTTTTAATTTGATACAAATGTATTATTATAAACTGTACTGTCAGCATATTGAGTAAAAAGTCGATTTTTTTTTTTTTTTGAGTTAAAAAAATCAAAGTATGTTAATAGGTGTTTTTTTTTTGGACAGCAACACTCAGACAAATTAAATTTCAAAAATAACATTTCGAAATAGAAATGGTGACATTTCTGTATTCCCAAGTTTAAATTAAGAGCCCAAATGTTCAGTGTGGTCCCAGAGGTTTTGATCTCTCAGTATTTATGAGAGATTTATGAGCTGCTTATACAGTATGTCCCTCCTTGGTTCTAATAGCTTCTAAACCTCTGAAAACTCATTGAAAAGACTCGTTTGCTGGAGTTTCGTAACTTGCCAAAGCTTCAGTCTGGGTTTTTATGTTTCTCCAGGCAACAGGAGGCAGAATTACCATGACAACCGAGTCAAGTGAGGGATGAAGGCCTGTCAGAGCAGCATCGTTTCTCTGACATCTTTCCCGAGAGCCGTGTGTGTTTGTGATCCCTGAGTCACCGGCACGCCGTGAATCCCTAATAACCTGACAGCGCTGGATCTTTACCGTGAAGAGACTCACTGGTGATCAAACTACAGCCACAGATCTCAGATCACTCGCTGAGCTCAGGCCAGATCTGCTGATGTCTTCTCACATCAAACCTCCAAAAGCACATTTATTTGATTAAGACGCGGTCATATGTGCTATTACTCACAATTCATCAGATGCTGAATACTTTATAAGTACTGCTGAAGATCATTACACTGTCTACAAATGAATTTTGGGGTAGGCTATATGTAAACAAAAACTAGGATAATTAGGATTTATAATGTCTTTGAATGAAGTCTCTTATGCTCACCAAGGCTGCATTTATTTGATCAAAATAGAATATTATTAAAATCTAAGATAAGCAGTATATTAGAATGATTTCTGAAGGATCATGTGACACTGAAGATGGCATAATGATGCTGAAAATTATATCCTATATAGATTTTACATTTAAAAAAAACGTATATAGTTTTACAAAAACTAACACGGAAATAAAATGAATAAAAACTATATAATCACTAAAAAAAATCCCTAAAACCTTCAAATTAAAAATAAAATCATTATATATTATGTTTACATATATTATAAATACATTTATATAATATACAAATAATTATAATATTTTATAATATTATTAGAAAATATTTAACATTTAAATTCATTATTTTATATAACAATAATATTTAATTTTATATTAATATATAATATAAATGTGTATAATATAAGAATATAAAACTTAAATACATTTATTTATTTAAGTTTCAAATATTCTTGGGGGTCATTAGAGAGTCATATAAGTGGGGTCAGAGAATTTAGTAGTTTATTTAACCCTGCTAAAGTAGGCATGTGTTCTTTACACAGAATTACCATTGTAGCAATATTTTCTGCCAAAATGAAAGGAGAATGGCAGGCTGAAGTCTGACAAGTAGGCAAATATCCTTAATGCTTAAATACTAATCAAATGTTAAACAAATATATCCAAAATGTCACATGTATGTCCTCCTGCAGCTTACAGAAGTACTGAGAATCCAAAGTATATTTCTGAATATAGGCTGAAGTACCCCTGCATCAAAACTAAACCAGACAACCTTTTGAATCCGTTCCCATATCATAGTATGTATATTAAGTCATTTAATAATAAAAAGAAATAGACCAAAGTAGCATATGTAGACACACATTTATATATCTGGGCTTTAATGCCTTTAAAAGAAACTGAAGAAAGCATGATATTAACTCGGACTACTTATTTTAATCTGCTAATTTTCTGTTTTATAGGTTTAATCACACATTCTTTCCAAGCAGCCGCCGGAGTTCATGAACCCCATGAATGTATTTCCTGCTGCGATCAAAGCATTGTTGGGAGGTTGAAGTGTCGTAGTTCTCCTGCATTGTTCTAACAGTTTAACTCAAGCGCAGCATGTGTCAGTCTATGTGTATCATGGCAGTTTGGTGAGTATTTTACGTTTTGGCGTCAGCGTGTGAATGAAATCTTTCAGTATTCCCCAGCTGCCCTGTGACACAAACAGAGCGCATGTGAGTGTGAAAGAGGCTTACTGTGGCGGCACATGACTCTTCCCATAGTCCACCTGCTTCACATGTCCGTAAAAATACAGCTCCAAAATCTCTATCAAAACTACTACCGCGAATCCAGCCACATGACACCGGGAATCTAATGACAGCACCAATAATTAACAAGTAACAATGAGCTCTTCGCATACCGCTGCTTAGAATTCAATTTAAATGCAGGCAAAGAGATCTCATCACATGCAAATGTCAGCATTACACAAGCTGAATACAGCTGGACTCAGCACTCTGGAGCTGAGCTGATTTACTGCTATTATTTTGGCATGGATAAAAAAACAACCCGTTCCATTGCCTCGCTCTTTAATCTCCTCCTGGGAGACCAGCGGCTCCAGAGAGCGGCGAGGAAACCTGGCAACCCCGTTCACCATCACACTAAACGCTCACATACTCTTGCTGGGAACTATTAGAATTCTTGTTGACTTCAACATTGTCTTAATGGCGCACAACACTGTCTTAATGCTGGTCATTCAAAGTGCTTCATATGAGCATGAAAAAGAAGAGCAATAAATCATATACACAACTGAGAAGGGAAAAGGAAAGGGATTTTAGACTCACATTCAAATTTGCTGTGCAAATGGAGATTGGCATTATGGACATTTGAATTAAAAATGTAGTTTGATAATTTTCTAGAAGTACGCTTTAAAAATGTGAGTCATTTTATTCGAAAAAGATTGTAAAATGAAAACTTGTTAACTGATTAACTGTACACGTTACTTTATCATACAGTACATTTTTATATTTAAAAAGGCAATGCATGTCAATTTAGGTTGGATATATTAACATAATACCACAAAAATATTACATTGATAATCACAGTGTATTTTGGCTATTTAACAAGTATTTTAAATATAGTGAAAAAGGCAATGCATGTCATTTTAAGTTGGTTGATATATTCATATTGTATCATTATAAAATGTACAATTAAGAGATATATAATCACAGTATATAATCACAGACCATTCAGTTGGCTGTTAATATTGTATTATTGAAATATTAAATATACAGTTATAAGCTGTGTAATATGAGGTGTGTAATAACAATGTATTCTGGCTGTTCAAGTATTTCAGATAAAACGTAAAATTTATTTAATTGATTAATTAAAACAAGGCAATGCATGTCATTTTAAGTTGGTTAATAGTGTTTTTAAAAAGGCAATGTCATTTCAAATTAGTTGATATATTAATATTACTTCATTTAAACGTGAAATATACAATTATGAGCCATAAAATATATGACTATTCAACAAGTATTTTAGATACTAGTTAAAATGTATGTCATGCCAATTTAAGATGATTAATATATTAATATTTATTTAAATACGAAATATACAATTATGAGTTGTATAATATACACAGTGTATTCTGACCATTTAACAAGGTTTTTAGATAATACCTTGTATTTGAACAGCCAATGCATGTAATTTTAAGTTGGTTGATATATAATATCATTTACATTAAATATAAAATTATGAGCTACATAATATATAACCAAAGTGACCATTCAATACGTGTTTTAGATGCTACAAATTAGTTTTTTAAGAAGCATGTCATTTTAAGTTGGTTTATATATTAATATTGCATCACAGTGTATTCGGACCATTCAACGAGCATTTTTGATACTAAATTCTCACCATATATCGTTTCCTAAAACATGTAACATATTTGTGCATCGACAGTTTAGATATAGTCACATGTATGTGGCATGCACATCGACATGCACAAAAATAATAGAAGCGAAGCAGCGAGAGGCTGTGATGACCGCAGCTGATGCCTTTGAGTGATCAGCACAGTGTGGGCACATGGACAGGCCATCTGTCTGCAGACTATCTCACACATGCGTATGCCATGAATTTGGGTGACCAAACTCTTTGTAAGAGCACAAATGTACTGCAATAGCTTCAAATAGACCTTGATATCCGTGACCTTGGATTGTGATCACGCAATCATAAGATTTTATTAAAGCAGATAAGAAAAGGAGAGACAAGGACTTGTGAAGGCATCGTGGCACACTTTATGGAAAAACACCACCGAGGATCACAATCCTTTGGCTTTGCTGTGATTGGCAGACACGATTAGCTCAGCATTGTTGCCATACAATCAGACTTTGGACATATACGCCCTCTCCACCCCACCCTTACTCTTTCTCTAAGTTGATCCTGAAGTTTTGAGACTAGGTAGATTAGCTATCCCCTCACAAGGCCACTGACCCTTTCATGTGACCTCACTTTTGCACTATATCTAGAGATGTTGCTTTGGCACACAGACTGGAACTTAAAAAACACATTGGAAAAAATGTATGGCTTGTTAGTCATCGAGGGCTTATGATGGAATGACGCTTTGCTGTCCAGTATAGTGACGAGAACAGCAGTCTCCGTCCTGATTAACATCAAAATCGCGAATGAGGAGAAGGGCACAGTGTTGCCAACTAATTTTCAGGGGAAGTTGCTAAAGGAAGTTCGATTTGTTGCTAAAAGTTGCTAAATGACGTTGTGATGTCATTGCGTGATGACGTCATTACGTAATCACAACGCAAAATTGTGTCACTACATTAAAAAACTCTATATTTTTATGTTAATTTAGATTTGTTCGTAAAATAATATAAATGCATAATATAATGTTAAAATATAAATAACTTTTTTTATATACAACATTGAATTGAAAAGTTGCAAAATTTAGCAACAAAATTGCTAAATTGGCAACACTGGAAAGGCAATCAATCTGAGAGCGGAATCCTGAATGGGCGGGGTTTGGTAACTAAACGCTTTCATATGATTGGTCTGTTTGGACGCGTCTAAATATGTAATCTTATTATTAACTCTTAACTCGACGCTCTTTGATTAAATGAATAACAATGTTTTCAGCACCATTATTCAGATGTAAACTCTTGTCCAGACCGCTGCTGAAACAGCTTGGGAGCTCGCCGTTATCACGTGATACCTGTTACTTTTCTCAGCGCTGCTAAGCATAGACTAATCACAGTCGTTTGTGATTTACCGAAGGAGGATTTTCAAGAAATACTTTTTTAGAAATTGGTTTAGTATGTCACGTACTAATATGTGAAAACTAAGTCAGTTTTAAATATACATTAATCGTGACCAAAACATTGTGATATTTGAATGAATGAGACTCGATGGTGGATGCAAGCTTCTGTGCCCCCTGCTGGTGTCATATCATACAAACTCATTACCAAGTAGCGTGTGTTTGTCTCTTTAAGAAACGCTCCTGTTGCATGAGAGCCTGGTGTTTTTCCACTCTCTCCGTTATCACATGCGCTCGCATATAAGACAGAAGTCGGGGGGAGAGGGTGTAAAGATTATTTCCCTCGCTTTGTAGCTTAACCACAAGAAGACAAAAGAACAAGAAACGGACTTGAGCTATAAATTGCATTGTCAGGTGAGTGACACCTTACAGGTCAGTAGAGGCTGAACTGTATCTTTAAGAGCATCTTTATGTAGCCTACATTTTATTAACGTTTTAAGTACTCGTGTATTTTTGTCTAAGGCGGATATACGGTCATTTTTTATTATTAAAATATATGTTAAATTACAATTCACTGATTTGCATCTTTGAGAAGATCCATTTTTTTTTAATTAACTCATTTATTTTTTGTCAAAGAACGATACATGGTCTCTGCTTTGAATTGGAAAAGACTTTAAACTGTTTTGCCTTTCAACAGTTCTAATTAGAATATAATACAAAAACCTTGTTCCTCAAATGTAGCGTTTCTGGTATTGTATTGGAAGCTATGTGCCTTAGTTGTTGTGCACAAATGTGCTCACAGGCTTTTGGAAGCTTAGTGTCATTTGATATTAAATGCAGTCAATTTATTTTAGATGCACCGTAATTAAAGATGAATTGTAAGTACTGGTTAACAGTGTTCCGGTCTAATATAGCCAGCGAAAGGCTTGTGACAGCACCCTCAGGACCAACACAGAGCATCATTCTCATAGCGCACGCTTTAACAGCTCAATAAAAATGTAGGTTAATGTGAATTTATTCTGCTCTGCTCCTGCATGTAAACACTGACACCGCTGGAGACAGATCGGTCTCAAACATGCAATGGGTTCATTTAACACCGCACAGACACAATGTAGGTTATTGGGGCACAGCCAACAAATTAACTTCTTCTCTTGTCCATTATTGGTCTAGTGTGGTAAATGCAAACCCCTCGCTGATGGATATGCATTAGAGATGTAATTGGTTCACAAATGAATGAGAGTTTGAGGCGTGTCCGCACGCGCAGCCTTTTATTGTGGCTCGTGCAATGTCTGTTTGTCATGCGAACTTGCAATATCCTAAAAGCTTGTTTAGGGGGGGTTGTAATTTATTCCGTAGCTGGTGTTTCCAAATTAAACACGCATAAAAAATGTAATTTAATCAGGAGCGCGCGCCGGAGAATTAGGACACCCGTCGCGGGCGAGCGGAATATTTTTCAGGTTTTAATTTTGAGAGCAGACAGATTTAGTTTTATAATGCATGACATGAGATTACCTTGCAGAATCCTCAATACCACTGAGAAAAGTACGGTGGCAGTGCCATACACTTGATTCCCAGCTATAAAAACTATGTTCGATGAAACATAGGCTATAGCTATGAAAACGTTATTTATGCATGTTTTTAAACGTTCGAAACGTCCAGTTTGTTAATGTGTTAAGAATGTTACTTCTTGGTTATGTGAACATTAGAAGAACATTCCGTTATATCATTTAGAAAATGTTATGAGAACGTTACATTTGAATATTTGATTAATGTTGACATTTTTTTTTAGAAACTGCTATGAAAACACTATTTCTGAACGTTCAAAACATTCAGGAACATTCCATTTTATTGTTTTGAAAACATGAAAATGGTATTTTCCGATTTTTTTTTTTTTACATTCTAAACATCCAATTTTTTAAATTAAGAAAGTTACTTGGTTATGTGAACTTTAGGAGAGCATTCCATTCTATCATTTTGAAAACGTTATAGGAACATTACATTTAAACACTCTCTTAATGATTAAAACACCCATTTTTTATTTGTCAGAACATTTACTCTCAACATCACGATAAAGTATATCAAATATTAATAATGTTGTAATAACGTTCCATAAATATTATTTCAACATTTATTCCTAACATAAAAAAAAACGTCAATGAAAGTTATTATGGGAATGTTACCTGTTATTATGACTGCTATAGACCATGGTATTGCAACAATATGTGGTAAAATGCCACAAAAATACTGCAATATCATTGCACCATGTTCTAAATCTGGATCTTTTTGATCCCTAACCCTTACTGATTTTGTATTGTGCAAAGTTGGCATAGTTTTAAACATCAGTTTTTGAATGACTAGACAACAATGAACTAACATTAGAGTATCTGACCTTCCATTATAGATAATGGCTTTAGATTAAATGTTGTCATTTCAGTTTATAATATCCCATTTGCTTTGTGAGCTTTCCTTTATTGGTTTTTGAGTATAATTAGAGCATTAGACCATTTTTTTATCCCCTTTCCACATGTTTTGAGTAGCCTATTTTAATACATCCAATTTGTGTTTATAACCTTCACAGCTGAATATCCAGACAAGGTTAAATTGCAGCTTTCTGTTGTTGTGGCCTTCTGATACATTGTCTTGGTTCTTTCTTCTCTGCTTACGCCATTGGTTGATTAAACATGCATTTACATAGCTTTTGTTGATAGTGAGCTATCAGTGTTTATCTATATGAAGGCTAATGAGAGATCCGGGCATGTTTAGAAGGTCATTATTGGGGTCGAGGAAGGTTGAAAGAGGCTGCTGGTGACCGAGATAAGCTGAGCTGTGACCCTGCAACATTTCTTTGCTCATGGCCAAAGCTACACTGACACAAGGGCATTTGACTAGTATGAGTCTAGCGCTCCGAGTTTAGCGTTTCTGACTCTCTGGTGACCCAGACGAACCAGTCACATTCCACTTATTGGTGTGGAGTTCTTATCAGTTTTATTTCACAAGAAATTGACACATTGCTTGTTCTCCAGATAAGATAAGATGGACTTTTTGAGATTTAATGGCTCGTTGGAATCTGATGTTGAAAGAGCTTAAAGTCCCCATGAAATCAAAATTAAAGTTTTTTGGGTGTTAGTATCAATATATTAGTCTTAAGGTTATCTATAGGCAGTGTGCTCCAAAACAGTGACAAAATTCGCATTTAGAAGATATAAGCATTCAAAGCTTGCAGTTCGTCACTTCCTTTTTTTTGACGTCACATCGTACTTCATCTTCTCATCAAATCTTCTGACCAATCAAACGCTCTCTAGAAGCCGAAGCGCCCGCCCCCTAAATAGACGCTGAAGCTGCGGCTGAGATCGGTCGCTTGTTCACAGTGTAGTATTTCCTGTACAGTGAATGGCACGTAGTGCACAATGTAGGCGAGAGGGAACGATTCAGACAGTGTATGCTTTCGATTGGGGCAAATGAGTTCTGGTTTCACGTTGTGTCACGGGAACCGCGGCAGCACACACAGTCTGATCCGGACTTTGGCTCCGGTCCAGAGACAAGATCGCACGAAGTGGATCATATGCGCGAGTCGGCATATATTAAACACTTTTAAAACTACACAGCCTCAGCATGATTATGATCACTATTTTGTTTTACTAAGAGTTTCATATTGAATCTAGGGGGTAATCTATTAGACTGTGGCTGTCAAATGTGGCTTTACCGAGCTCAACGGCTCCCTCTGACCCGTGTAGATATAAACAAAACGCTATTGGCTAATTTAAAAATGGGGCGGGGCTGCTCGATATGTCCCGCCCTATCTTCCTGTTTCAGTTGAAATTACGTCACCACATAGAATAACGCTGCGTGTTTCAAGGCACTTCAGGGGACCTTTAAGATTTTCACAAGACTGTGATGAGGCGTTTCAATGGTCAACAGCATCATAAATCCTCGAAACTTTTGTATATTTTGAGTTTTTAAAAATGTATGTACATTTATAACACTATACTTTGTATTATTTTTGTAATAAAAACATTTTGTTCATGTTGCGTAAAGAAGAGTGACCGAGAAAATACTAGACATTGTCAAATTGCATTTTCAACTCAACTTTGCATTTTTGTGCTGACAATATAATTTGTAATGAAAACTGTATTAAATGACAAAAAATGCTAAATGGAAACATTTGAGGGTTTACAGGAGCAATACAACCTGTCGTATCTGTCCAGGCTTCATCCGAAAGCTTATCCTTAGATACAGTGGGTACGGAAAGTATTCAGACCCCCTTCAATTTTTCACTCTTTGTTATATTGCAGCCATTTGCTAAAATCATTTAAGTTAATTTTTTTTCCTCATTAATGTACACACAGCACCCCATATTGACAGAAAAACACAGAATCGTTGACATTTTTGCAGATTTATTAAAAAAGAAAAACTGAAATATCACATGGTCCTAAGTATTCAGACCCTTTGCTCAGTATTTAGTAGAAGCACCCTTTTGATCTAATACAGCCATGAGTCTTTTTGGGAAAGATGCAACAAGTTTTTCACACCTGGATTTGGGGATCCTCTGCCATTCCTCCTTGCAGATCCTCTCCAGTTCTGTCAGGTTGGATGGTAAACGTTGGTGGACAGCCATTTTTAGGTCTCTCCAGAGATGCTCAATTGTGTTTAAGTCAGTGCTCTGGCTGTGCCATTCAAGAACAGTCACAGGTTGTTGTGAAGCCACTCCTTCGTTATTTTAGCTGTGTGCTTAGGGTCATTGTCTTGTTGGAAGGTAAACCTTCGGCCCAGTCTGAGGTCCTGAGCACTCTGGAGAAGGTTTTCATCCAGGATATCCCTGTACTTGGCCGCATTCATCGTTCCCTCGATTGCAACCAGTCGTCCTGTCCCTGCAGCTGAAAAACACCCCCACAGCATGATGCTGCCACCGGGTCTGAATACTTTCCGTACCCACTGTAAATCCTGATAGGAATAGAAAAGCTGCTGATAAAAATATAGATACAAAAATGGTATCAAACCCCGAAACGTACAGAGAAAAGGGCTCTGGCCAACTAGGACACGTGTAATGAGTGAGCTGGTTTATCAGCGTCAGTGTGAGTTTCAAACAGGATATCAGACTGGAGAACGGCCTTCTCAGCTTCCTGCTCGGCCTGAATCTCATTTCAAGAGCTCATGTCTTACTCTCAGCTGGAGCACTCTATAAAACGCCATTTAAACCTTTTCTGTATGTATCAGTCACGCTTTACATAGTTGTGTACATGTTAGTTCTTGAGGCTTCGGTGTTATTCAAATGATTCCTAGGAATGCTTTGCATGAGCTTTAAGCAGTCAGCAGCACTGAGATTTGCTTCTAGATCTGTCTTATGTAACAGTACATGTCAGTGGATGTGATTTCATAGCTCAGATTTTCTGTTTATTTATCTGTTATGAGATCTATTCTATCCTCATGGGTCTTCATGAAGGTTTTCCAGCTCAGTCACACATATAAATAGATATTTACTGTTTGATAAAATGTTTGAATGTTTATAAAAGTTGTCGGCATGGCTCCATTTATTTGATGAGAAATACAGTAAAAACTGTAATATTGTGAAATCATTTTAATCTGTTTTCTATGTTAATATTATACGTTTAAATGTAATTGATTTCTGTGAAGCAATGCTGAAATTTCAGCATCATTACTCCAGTCTTCAGTGTCACATGATCTTCAGAAATCATTCTGATATCTAAGAAACATTTCTACTTAATGTTGTAATTTTTTTTTTTTCAGGATTCTCTGATGAATATAAAGGTCAAAAAACAGCATTTATTAAATAGAATTATTTTATAACATTAAATGGCTGTCACTTCATTCATTGAATGAATCTTTGCTGAATAAAAGTATTCATTTGTTTTGTTCGGTTCGGTAGTGTAAATCATTCTCAACCCCGTCTCCTCTCTGGTTCTCAGTATGGCACAGAAGGAAAAGTTGCAGTGTCTCAAAGATTTCCATAAGGACACGTTGAAGCCGTCTCCCGGTAAGAGTCCCGGCACGCGTCCTGAAGACGAGGCGGAGGGCAAAGCGCCACAGCGGGAGAAATGGGCCAGCAAGCTGGATTTCGTGCTCTCCGTGGCCGGAGGTTTCGTCGGGTTAGGCAACGTTTGGCGTTTCCCGTACCTCTGCTACAAGAATGGCGGAGGTGAGGGTGTTTACATGTTTAATATGTCAACAAAATATGTTTGAGGTAACACTTTTCGGTCTTTGTGTACTGTAAATAGCGGCTAATGTCACATGCAAACATAATCTTGTGACATTAAAGGGATAGTTCACCCAAAAATAAAAATTCTGTCATTATTTACTCACCCTCAAGTTGTTCCAAAACTCTAAGAGTTTCTTTCTTCTGTTGAACACAAAAGAAGATATTTTGAAGAAATTTGGTAACCGAACAGTTGCCGGTAGCCATTGATTTCCATAGTGTGGAAAAGAATACTATGGAAGTCAATGGCTACTGGCAACTGTTAGTTTTGGTTACCAACATTCTTCATATGTGACCCTGGAGCACAAAGCCAGTCTTAAAGGGATGGTTCACCCAAAAATGAAAATTTGATGTTTATCTGCTTACCCTCAGGGCATCCAAGATGTAGGTGACTTTGTTTCTTCAGTAGAACACATATGATGATTTTTAACTTTAACCGTTGCAGTCTATCAGTCGTATAATGCATGGCAATGGTAACAAAATCTATGAGAGTAAAAAAAACATGCACAGACAAATCCAAATTAAACCCTGCGGCTCGTGACGACACATTGATGTCCTAAGACACGAAACGATCGGTTTGTGCGAGAAACCGAACAGTATTTATATCATTTTTTACCTCTAATACACCATGTCCAACTTCCTTGAGCGCGCGCACGGCATCCGGTGCGTGAGGTGTGTACGCGCTCTGCCGTAGTTTACGTTAATGGGTGTGTTGATATCCAGCCGAAGAGCAATCAACCATAACTTCAGGCGAGCAGGCTCAGAAGTTGGGAATACGTGGAAAGTCACCACTCCCGAATGAGTTCGCGCGAGAGAACGTATTTCAGCTGATGTATAAATCTCAATTTAAAGAAATTGACCCTTATGACTGGTTTTGTGGTCCAGGATCACATTTGTTCTTCAGGTTTGGAAAAACATGAGGGTGAGTAAGTGATGACAAATGTTATTTTTGGGTGAGCTATCGCTTTAAACCTTTGAGCTCATTGCAGAAATGTTTGTGTGCAAATCTGTTCCTATTTTAAAAAGGCAGAAGAGTGTTTATAATACATTTTGACCTTCTGCATGATTTACAAGTTAAAATATTAATATATTGTATTCTGTTATGTGCTAATAAATATATAATACTATACCAGTACTAAATATAATACTATATGTAGTAATATTTATACACTATTGTGTTTATTAATATTTAGAATTAGCTTTTATTTTCATATTTTCAGTTGTAATTTTAATTTTATTTTAATTTTTAGTAATTTTGTTGTGTGCTTTTAGAATTGTATTTCTATTTAGCTTTTATTTATTTATTTTTTATTTCAGCTTTAGTAATTTTTCTACGTTTATTTTATTTTAGTTAGTCGCCAAGGCAACTTTTTAAAGCTTTTTAAGTTTATGTTTTTCATTTGGAATTTATATTTTATTTCAGCTTTATTCCAATTAACAGAAATGATTTTTACATTTACATTTAGTCATTTAGCAGATGCTTTTATCCAAAGCAACTTACAAATGAGGACAATGTTAGCAATCAAAATCAACAAAAGAGCAATGACATACAAGTGCTATAATACTAATAACACTATATAATACTATTTTTAATAGTTAACAATGAAAACACAGCTTTCAATAGCATCTGTGACATACTGTTGTATTATTATTATACTATAATATTACCATCATTTTTGCATAATATGCAAAAAATGAGAAGCTTGTATTTTTATTCAAGTGCTTTAATAATACAAAAATGTGTATTATTTAAGCAGTACAATAATATAAATGGTACTTTTAGTGGTAGGAGTACTTTCAGAGATGTCCACTGTAATACATGAATGCAAGCATAATTTTTGTTGATTTTGTTGCGTTTCTGGTCATTTCGCTTCCTGTAATGTGGCTTTCTTTGCTGAGTTTGTGTAATGCCTGCCTTATCTTGTGATTGTGTTTCCAGGTGCATTTCTCATCCCCTACTTCATATTTCTGTTTGGCGGAGGTTTGCCCGTCTTCTTTCTGGAGGTGGCACTCGGCCAGTTCACCTCTGAGGGAGGAATCACCTGCTGGGGGAAACTCTGCCCCATTTTCACCGGTGAGACAAACGGACGGATCGAGAGAGAGGACGAGACAGTCTGACTTTGACGATATTTAATGACTCATCGGGCTCAAGCACATTTTAATCAGCATAAATCATATTTCATAATGCTCCCATCCCCCCTACTGGCTACTAGCGGTCTCTCGCGGCAGCGTCGACCAACCGGCACGGCCGTTACTGCGATGCGTTTTGAGTCTGATTGGCTGCTGAAGTGGCTCGTTAAAGCATCTTCTCTCTGACCTGCTTTCAGCATCTGATGCGGTTGCTAGGCAACACTAGAAGACGCTGTGTTCTTTTGAAACGCATCGTCGTTATCTTATCTGTGTGTGAGCAGGATGTGGGTCCCTCATACAAAACACACACACACTACATGTGCGTTTAATTCCCCGTGATTTGTTTGCTTTGAGCCGCTCTGTGCTTCAGAGCGCTGTGACTAACACACCGCTCTGCATTTGGACATGTATTCTGATCTCCATGGCAACAGCAGTGAGAGGTGACTGAGATGCTTGCGATGGGATCTCCTCTCAGCTCAGGAGCAGAAACGATTGAAATGATGAGAAACAACAGGACAGGAAGTGTTTTTTAAAGCAGAGGTTTTCAATCTTTTAGATTCCACAGACTGCCAAATATGATCACCCTCATGCAATATAAAGACCTGATTAATAAATATATATATATATATATACAGTGGGTACGGAAAGTATTCAGACCCACTTCAATTTTTCACTCTTTGTTATATTGCAGCCATTTGCTAAAATCATTTAAGTTAATTTTTTTTCCTCATTAATGTA